TAATATTAATTACGATAATTTCAACAAAATAGACTGACGGAACGAGACCAAATCGTCTAAATATTACCCTAAATTAAATTACAATTATAGATACTTATGAAAATCTAAAATATCTACTTTACATTAAATTAAATGCATCAATAAGATCACATTTTTATGATAATGTAATGATTTTTTGACTTAAAATATTTATGTATTAATACTGTTATAAGTTAATAAGATAACTAGTACATTCTCATTAACAGATCTTTACCTAACCAAAAAACAAAGTATTTCAAGATAATATTAGCATTTTAAAACCCCAAGCGTTTCACTTTCTGGTTATACATACAAGCAGATAATCGCTTTGTTAATTCGTTTTAAAAACAATATATTGTTGTGAGCATCGTTGAGTGCTTTCTCCGAATTTAACTTGAGTAGAAGATGCGTCTTATCATGATTTGCGATTTGTTATTTTGAGATAACGTCACGTTTAGCTATTGATAAGTTTAAATGTCATGTATAATTGACTGCATAGTTAGCGTTGTGACTAGGGAACTGGCTGCCGCGCACTGTGTCAGGGATTTGATTTCCGGACAAATCAACTCTTTGAGAGATCGATCTATAATTATGTTATATCGACTAGTTTGAAGTTTGGCTCAGCTCAACAGCTTTATTCCTTCAAAAAACCAATGCAGTTTACAAAAAATATAAAAATATATTTTTAATGCAATCCGCGAATTTTAACATCATAGTTTGATAAATCACAAGCCATTGACAAATCCTGAATGGCATGAGCAAAAAGGAAATGATGTTATTTTTGGATACATTGCTATTATTTTATTTAAATTAATAGTGGATTTGCATGTCTCGATATTTAATTAGTAATTAGTCACACACTAAATTTGGAATCTAATAAAATCTAAAAATACCTATTTCAATTTATTGATGTCATTTTTTAACTCTTTGTTTAGATCTATCTGTACTTCTAATACTAATATTATAAAGAGGTAAAATTTGTAAGTTTGTAAGGTCCTATGTATCTTTGGAACCGCTGGTCGGATTGTCAAAATTTTTTCACTGATAGATAGCTAAAATTTTTCTGAGTGCTATAGGCTATAAAACATCACGCTACGATCAAATGGAGCCGAGCAGCAAGTGAAACCGCGTGAGAGTAGCTAGTTAGGTAAAAATGTTGTTTATGCTCATCATTTCGGCACAATGACCGTAAAAACGAAAACTTTTTGACAATAACCATGACATTGATAAAAAAATATTTGCCAATCAGCGAATTTAGTTAACCTTAGTTCAAGAATGAATTCAACCTCTACAACTGCTTTTTTGTGTTGTTAAATCTTAGTATCTTTATCATTATCTGTTTTCAGACTAAAATAGATACACCTTCCACACCATCTTACATTATTTACTAGCTTTATGTATTTAGGCTTTTAAGACTTTTCCGCTGGGTATTTTGTGGAGATAATAAGAAACATCCGATAGCTTTAGTGCCAACAACACAATAGGTGTAGCTTCATGGCACTGACATAGTACTTTAGGCATTCAAGGAATTATTACGTAAGACTGACATCATGTTTCAATTTTCGCTGAAAAAGGAGATTTACCTACACGCCCAGATTTCACCCAAAACAGAAATAAGTCGGTTTTCAAACCTCATTTATAATATTTTGCGAATATTCGGCTTTTTGTTTTACAAGATTACGCGGTTAAAAAAACAGGTAAAACAGGGTTCCACCCTATTGCAAGAATTGGACTCTTCATGATGACATTTTGTCACTGGCAAGTAAAAATGATCAGAGGTTTTGATTGATGTTCATCCTTTCTTCGTATAAGAAGATTTTTCTCAAAGGCAGGATAGCTGTAATACAATAATACAATATAGATTTTGATATGGTACGTCATCAAATGACCTGCACCCTGGGTGGATCAAAATACAGTGTCAGACTCTTACTGACTAAAAACCACCGCGATCCTTCTCCTACTCCGATTTTGCGCTTGACCCTGAGCTTCAGCCAACCCCAGCTGGTTGTACCCATAGGCAAACCGTAGTCAATGTTTCTCAGAACATTATCAATCTAAACGGAAACACATTATCTGATGTTTAATTTTCCAACGTTCCATTGCGTCACCACAGCAGATTATCTTCATATTTAGTTTTTATAAGCAGCATCCTTCCGTGAGATAACGACACAAAGCAAAAACACATTTTCCTTATTCAGATCTGTTATTTTAGCATTTATTTGTGAGGAAATACCAGCCTTATGAGTTCGTTGTTTCATAGAAATTAGGACCTTATTGTACTCAGAAATGTTTAATGATTACTTAAACTGTTCCTTAGTAACAAGTTTGTTCCGAAAACTATTGCTAAGGACAATTAATTGCTGGGTTAAGTAACCATTACGTTGAATGACTATGAGTACGATTGTCAACTATATGTTTGGTCGAATGGTTGTAAGTGTAATTGATTGCCGAGCAAAAAGTCCAAGGTCGAACAACATTATTCGGTTTTTGAAAATTTAGGTCGCAACACGGGGGATACTGTGTCCCGTTGAAGCCAGCCAGCTAACCCTGAATTCCAAGAAACTTTTTCTTAACTGGTCAAAAAGTGGACATAACATTTTATACGTACCTACATATGTATCTATATGTTCATTTCTGCGTAATTCTTTAAAGTTTGAAAGGCATAGTATTACGTTAGAAAACGTACTTACCTTATAAGACCTTTGTTTAATACAAAATATACGCAAATTCTGTTCGTGTATTCAAGTAACCTATTGCGAAGGAAGGGTGAGGTCTTAGGTAAAATGCTAAACATGAGTAATGGATGATAAATTATGTTTTGGTGCTCGCTTAGAACATTTTATTATGTTTAATTTTTATATATAGATAATTATGGTTCGAGATATCGTTTAAATTCAAATATATTTTGGTTTTCAAAGGATGTCTGGTAGAAATCACCGTGTCTGATAAAACCGCCCATAAAACTCCATAATTATAAGTTTTTTTGTAGATTTGTGACAATTTTTGTATACAGTAAAAAAAGTGTGAATGCAAAAAGAAAGGCAAAAGGCCTTAGTTTTACTATCTTTTTTAAGAATTTTTAAGAGTTCGAAATTGCTTTCTGTTTTAAGTATTTCAATTTGTTTCGCGCTCTATACTCTGTATTGAACCCCAAAAACTCGCCTTAAAACAAACAACCCCAACAAAAATACTTTCATTTCGTAAAACAACGAAAAAACATTTAAAATTAAAGTAAAAATATCTCTTTCTCAAAAACAAAAATCTTACACTCAAAAATTACTCGTAAGAATGCGTTCGAATTTTAAAGCACATTACATTTTAACAACACAATAATTTTGTCATCAATAAAGTCTGTAAAAAACGAGCTCAAGTCGCAAGCCACAATGTCAGTTTCACTTTCATACTGCAGTGATGTAATATCAGCTGACTCGGCTTTCACTGGAGCTCGGTGTAGGAAGCAAGTTCACTTGCACAGCCGTAGGAAGCAAGTTCACTTGGACGGTCAAGTGCGATGGTGTAAGTCTTTGCACTTCTCACGTTTTGTATATTATTATGGTGTGCGTTAATATGACGTTGAAGGGTGCTGATTCTATTTTTGAATAATTCTGTTTTCTATTAAAGTATTCTTATACCGGTATAATTTTCAGAAAATTTGTAATATTTGTAACCCATTTATAAATACATTGAAGTAATGCTCTATCTAGCAATATCGTAGACTTTATTAGGTAGGTATAATAAAATTTCAGTTTCAGATATAGTTGAAATCGAAGTCTAAATACAAATAATTTATAACAAAAACAGCAATACGGCAGTTTGAGCGCGAAAATCTAATTTAGCTTATAAAAGCATACAGTCAAAGAAGTGCGAATGAATACTATTAAAAAATATATCGAACTACACTTTAAAAAAAATGTTTCATTATGCGCGTAAAGCACAAATAACTAAACGTAACATATCGTAATTTAAAAAAGAAAGCTTAATTTTATGAGAAAAGCAATCAAAGAACGGGAAATTCCGGTTCCAACGCATACCTTCGAATTATCAGCTCCAAATAAGGCTTGTAATTATAAAATTAAGTATATCAACTCACTGGTGAGAGTTTTGTTACAGTTTGTGAAAGAAAAAAATATACAACTTTCATTCAAGTTTTTATTGAGAAAAAGATGTGTAAAGTATTGATATTTTTCGTGTTACACTTTTCATAATATAGCGAATTCATTAGCTAGCGATTGATGTATAGGTAACGCTGTATATAATCCGCTTGTTACAACTAATAGCTAATCTTTTGGTTAAATAATATATTATCTTACCTTTTAAGTAATCAGTTTTGGACTTATATGGCAAAATATAAGTAGTTAATAATATAGTAGTTAATAATATTAGTACTACCAAGAAATTCCCGTTTTAATTTCCAAATTATGGATTTTTTAAGGGCGGCTATCATCAAATGACTTCTCTCGCCCAAAGTGAGGAGAGAGAGAGAGTGTCAGACTCTTACTGACTAAAAATCAACTCATTCCTTTTCCTGCTCCAGGCCAAAGCCACGGTATCTTAGTGGTGGTCTGTTGGCTATTTGAGGTTCGCGGAACGCTACGCGCCGTGTGCTCAGGTCTCGTTCTGGTCGGGAGGCGAGCTATCCTTGCTCGCCGTCCGTAGACCCGCGCTAACGGTGGCCGGAGATCGCTGCTCTATCCCCGACGCCCGGAGTATCTCTTTCAGCGGTGGATGGGGAGCGAAGACGATAGTTACCTCACTCGCTCCGCTTCCTTCTTTCCTTCAGGAAAAGGAGGTGGCTCCCCAATTCCTCTTGCTCCGCACCATGGTAGAGTACGGTGTTAAAGTGACCTTCTAGTTTATGAAAATTATAACATTAATTTACGTAAATTTGGCTTGCTTGAGCAATATCTGGCAGTTCTAGTCATTTATAACAACATACTTTAATTAATACTAAACATAACATTATATTTTCTTTCTTTCTGCAGATGTTACATCTCTGCTGGGTGTACTACTTCTCGAAGCTGTCCGAGTTTGCGGACACTGTGTTCTTTGTCCTTCGTAAAAAGAAGAGTCAGATCACGTGGCTGCACCTCTACCACCACTCTTTGACCCCCTTCGAAGCCTGGGTACTTGTCAAGTTCATTGCTGGTAAGTTTGTTTTTATTTTTTTAACGGTGTTCTACACTAGGATTTTGAACACAAGAATTTGTGGGTCACACAAAAAATTGTTCCTTGCGGGAATAACGCGCAACTTTTTTGTTGCAACCGGTTGCTCAGACGCCGTGCCTACCGTGCAATTATTGCTATAATTATTCTTTAACATGTGCTACAGTAATATTTATTGTGGGCCAGAATAATGAGTCTCATCTACTTTAGAGGAAACATGGAATTATAATTTCTAATTAGAAGATCGAAATCGCCTATCCACTTTGAGCAAGCGTGGTCTAATTTTTAATAAAACAAAATCTATCAACACCCAATTACTGACTTATGAATTTTATTGTTAAAAGACTCAATTATAATCGTATTCATATTGTTTAAAACACCACAAATCGTCGTAAATTCCAAGGGCCGTTACAAATGAAAAGTGAAAACATCTTAGGCTCAGCGAAGTGAGCAATAAATCAAGGTCAAATATAGCGGAACATATAAAAACTAATCGATAAAAGTAAAGGTTACTGTTTGATAGATATTTGATGTCATTTATTGAATATTTTCACTTATATCTTAGGTGTACTTTATTGGTTTTAAGAAATGGAGATCATGAGTGATGTTCTAGTACACGAATTCTAAAAACAAAGTACATGAATGGGGTATTGTCGGGTTTTTTTTTAATTTATCATAATCATGATAAAACTGCGTTAAATAACTACAAACGAATCTGAAAAGGAAACGTAATTCCTATGCCATTCCTATTTTCTCTTCTTTACACAATTTCTTATACACGTGACATCCAGCCCAAAATCATGAAATTGGTGATCAATCACAGCCATTACACTTTTCGCATCAGCTACTTGCCCAGCTTTCGCGTCCCCAGTATATTTTCATTTAACTCCTTATACAAAAGACATTGCTTAATATTTCCATGAAAAAAAACAACCAAATGATGTAAATACGACAGCAATTTGTCGACAACTCCATCATTGGTTATTATTCAATATCTCCTTCGCAAAGGTTACAGGAAAAGGCATCGTAAAGTACGATAATATCTTTTTACAATCAGTAAGAGCAATGTTAATGATTCATGATCATTCTCTTTGTATTTATAACTGTTTTCCACGCAACTACGTTTATTGAAATTCTGATTGTATTTAATAATAAATTCATGTACTTTTCACAAAATGAGCATGATGTATTATTTATAGTCGGTATAAAATTTTTGACTTACTTGTGTTGCTGGGAATATTTCGCCATTTTACGACACTTTGTTCAGGAGTTTTAATCGGACACAGCAAGGCTTTGGCATAAATAGGCTGGCTCGACCACAACTTATAGTAGACACAGCCACAGCATTGTTTTTTACCTGAGACCCATTCTCACCCTCTTCCCATTCCTTGTGTCCAAATCTAAAATCTCAACCCTCAGAAGGCCAACAACGCACTCGCAGCTGAGTTCTAATTTCTGTTCCCTAAAAAAGACAAGAGTATATTCCTTTGCTAAGGAGCCAGGAGAACTAAAACCTATTTTCATCAAATTCTAGGTGGTCATGGAACATTCTCGAACATCGTGAACAATCTGGTGCACGTGATTATGTACGGCTACTACATGGTGGCGGCGATGGGACCTCAGTACCAGAAGTACCTGTGGTGGAAGAAACACCTTACAACCCTGCAACTAGTAAGTACCAGTTCAAAATATACTAAATATTTAGTAAAGGACTCGGAATGATAGCATCGATTTTTAAATCATCTTTTTTTTTTCTTTTTATTTAAAAAAAACATTGCCCCACATTAGGATTTTTTCCTGTGTCGTCCACATCACACCCAGGCTCGGAACTGGATCACACAAAGAGTTGTTACGTGCGGGAAACGAAAAAAAAAACGAAACGAACCCGCGACATGTTGCGTGGCAGCCAATTGCCCAGCTACCGCGCCAACCGTGCCATGGTCATGATTTTCTCTGCCATTCCAAATAGGACCACAATAACATGTGTTAGGGTTTGAAATCGTCTTGTTGTTCTTCTAAAGTAAAACTAACAAAGTCTTAAAAGTAAGGACGCAAAAAGTTTTTTTTTAAGAAAATGTTCATCGACATACATTATTGTACGGTAATTATAATCCTTCTATTAACGAAACAAAATGCACTTTATACCAAGAATCTAAGATTTAATTTACTTTTAAAAGGAATTGGTTCTCATTAAGGCCATCAGTACACACAAATCAATTACGAATTGCCATTGAATTTAACACATAGTTTTTAAAAGCATCTTTTGCAACATTTCACCTGAACTAGTCTGTAAGTACCTCAATGTAAGGAGCCTGACATCAAACCTACACTTAGTCATCTAGATAAGTTCAGCACGGTCTACTTAGCTGTTACCTCAACAATTACTGGCACGAACGTTACACTGGCTCTCTTAAACATTTCACAATTAATCGTTTCGTTTATTTGATCGAAGTACATGGATCTTGACGAATTACTGATTTTACAAAATCTCTGATAAAATTGAATTTGGAATTTCTTGCTCGGTCAATATAGTATGATAGGTATATAGTCACGTTCCTCATTCCATGGCCTAAGTACATCCCAAGTTATGATGGAAGGAAAAATGCCTAAATAGTTTATTGTTTTTGCAGTAGAAAGAGTTGCAAGTAGAAATTTAAGTTTTTGAAAAATGTATGTCATACGGTATCTAAGTTCATTTTGGGACCTATGATACCTATGGGATAAGGCAGAATCTATAAGTCACGTTTATTTAAAACCAAATATCAACATAGGATTTATAAAATCCAATTATTATCAATGAACTTATTAATATTTAACCATCTGTCATAAGTATCCAACAAGAAACTCGTCCATTTAACGCCAATAAAACGATTTGCAAGATAGTCAATTATTTGAAATTATTACAGATGAAAATGGCTTACTTAGAACAATATTACCCAGTAAATATACGCCTAAATAACCATCACATGGTTGCCTTAAGTAACTCAATGGCGAACGCAGTCATTTATTTTTATCGAACTATTAAATCTACTAAATTATTAGGTACATGAAGACATAGGCGGCCATTACTCGTTGCATAGTTATTCAAGAAATTTACATATTGGCAAATTTTGGTATTTAATTAAGATAAATAGGTTGTTAAATGCTGTACGCATCCTTTCTAAATATTTTGGGAAGAAACCTATATACCTAAGCATATTCTACTAAAATTATAAATGTGAAAGGGTGAGAATGTTTAGATGTATGTTTGTTATTCTTTTATGCAAAAACGGCTGGACCGATTTGGCTTAATTTTGGTATAGGTATAGGTGACACCCTGAATTAAAACATAGGTTACTATTTATCCCGGTCAACAGGGGCGTAACATACTAAGCGGGCTGCGGGTGGAAGCTAGTCTAGCTAGTTATAAAAGGAAGGTTTTCCGTGTGAATGCATTCTACCCTATAACCTCTACATGGCACTTTCATAACAGAGTCCTGGTCAAATTCTGGTCCAAAATTCAATACAAAATCGTGTACAGCATTGCTCTTAAAATTGTACTCGTCTAATATTATAGTACTCAGTTCTACCGCTAATACTTCCGCGGCTAACGTGGAACCACCAATAAGGATCGCACCGCGCCTAGCAGCATTCCTCGCGTCCGAGCAGCGTTTGCGCAAACGATAGGATATACCTTGCACGACACTGTAATACTGCGAGCGTTGAATAAATATTTTATTTATATATTTATTTAACTTCTAATGTGATGTTATCTATACTTATATTATAAAGAGGTAAAATTTGTAAGTTTGTATGTAGGGGTAATCTTTGGAACCACTGGTCGGATTTCCAAAATTCTTTCACTAATAGATAGCTACAATATTCCTGGGTGCTATAGGCTATAAAACATCACGCTACAATCAATTGGATCCGAAAAGCGGGTAAAACCGCGCGAGAGTAGCTAGTTACTTATATCTCTGAAGTTATTTTAAGAACATTTATTTTAATAACATTTTGTAGGTGGTTGGATGAATTATTAAATAAAGGCCAAGTTTAATTAATTTTATTGTTGGACAGACTGAGCAAACTGTATTAGAAATAAAATTAATATATGTCTTTTAACCGTGTACATAAAATACAATAAGTGAAACTTACTTGACATTTTTTTTTTAATTAAACGATAGATTTTTTTACAAAATAAATACCCATAAACTGAAACGATTAGTTTAGAAATTAAAAAACGAAAATTATATCTAAGTAATCGAAAACAAATTTCAAGATTAAAGAGAAAAACAAAAATAAATAAATTCTAATCCCAATAACACCTAGTAAAACTAATGATATCGCAAATAAAATTTTAAAAAACTAGTAGCTACGTAAGTACCCATAACAAAATATTCCACCGCAGTCCCACCCAAGCGTGCGGGGGCAACATTTAGCCACAGTTACAACACGAACCAGCGGAACGCCGTATCCTTTCTCCGTTAGCAAACACACGTTCTATTAAATGTTCTACACTTAAATTAACGCAAGTACCTCAGGCAGCTGTCGGACATCTTGAGTCGCTATAATATATATAGGTATAGAGGTTTTGAGTATCTAAATATGCTTAGATTATTAATGGAATGGTTAAATGATTTAATATTATTGGAAACTTTATAAGTCCCGTATTCTACCACCTCAATTATTGAGGGTCAAAAATTTGCTAAGGACCCAATCGAGGTTTTAGGCAGCAAGAGTCTGTCGCTGCCTCTACTCACACCCAGGACGAGATTAGATGTTTGATGTCATGGCTGCTCTTCTTAAAAAAAATGTCCTGCATCATGCACATGTCACCAAATGTAAAAGATCTTCCACGTTACACATGTATGTGCAATTCCCTGTTCCATATAGGTAGATATATATATTTAATAAAAACGCAATGCTTTGCCATCTTCTTCGTCAGGATCCGGAAGACGTTCACGAAGTAGCGATCTCCCCATTGAAGTATAAGGGCATAAATGTTGACTTCACGTTATTGTTTTTTGGTATGAAAAATGGGTCTCATTTTATAGTTTTTCAATGTTTTTTGACGCACAATTTAGTATAGATTTTCCCAAAACTTATTTTGAATGGTTTATTAAAGCTATACTGCATAGTTACAAAGACACGCTTAACGGAAATCGCGTTACCGTAAGTAGCTGGCAAGCATCGAATCATTACATTTTCTATCAAGAAACTTATAGTTGGAATTGTTGTCCATAATTAAATGTGATCTTTTCCTATATTTTGTCACGGTGGCGACATCAGATGACCTTTACAATCTCACGTTTATAAAGTTCACAATTGCAAATCTTGAGAGTTGTATTGTTACAATCCTCTCCATTGCTAAAATAACTCTTATTACAACGGCATATGGCCAATGTAAGAAGTATGGCAAAACGACAAAAATAAGCCAATTTAACAAAACACAAGTAATAATATACATACGTTTACAATCATATAATTTACAATGAAAATAAAAAAAAAACACATAACATCTTCGACGATTTCAATTTGTGCATTAAAATCAAATTATGGTCGGAAGCGAAATATGTTTGGCATCATAAAGTTCTTGGAAAACCCTTTACCTATATGAAAGTAACCAAAACGGCTCGTGAATCATGAAACACAATCACAGGGGAAAGTTCGAGAACTTTCTCCACTTTTTAGGGACCCAAGAATCCCAGTAGGAACCTTTTATTTAAACTAAAGTAATCTGAAGTAGATGTTACTATAAAATCACTAATTGTAATAAAATGGGGTTTAAATTTTGTCATTCATGGAATAATTGTTATTACTACACGAATTTAAATAAAAAAATACTATCTAATACCATTTCCTTTTTTCAAAAACGAGCGATAATTTGGCAAATTGTTTAACAAAAATAAATCTTATTCTTGTAACTGGCTAACGACGAACTCGACAAGTTTCAAGCCACGCGGGGGCTCATGTTCATGTGCCGTATTACTCGAAACGCTAAAAATACTAGGTTATTAATTTTATGTGTGTCACAACTTATAACTTAGAACGCCAAACTTTTCACCATAGCTTTCTTGAATCGCCTAATCTATTATGTTATAATATAAACAATTAAATTAAGAGTTGTTTGTTGAAAATTACAACTAGTGTGACGTCGGCACAACGCGTTCGATACCTACTTATGAATAAGAGTCCCGTTGTGTCTTTGAAACAAGTAGAGCTTCTCTCGATTAATACTCATGAGTCGTTGTTCTCAATAAATTTAGTACCCATGTGTCTTAATTGTCTAACGATAGTTATTAAAACTAAACTTGTATGGAACTCTTTTCTTTGCATGACAGTAGTGGGTTTCAACTTTTTAATACACACGTGGGAATTAACATTTAACGAGTTCTGTCTTCGCTGCTGCTCATCCAATAATATGGGGTCCATAAGCGTGACGAAGCTACAAAATCACTTAGGTTTCTCAAAATATGGGACGATGTTATTCAATTATTTTTTCATTATAATCTCAAAAATAAAACAACAATAATTGATAGTATAATAGTAGTTTTGTATTATGCTTTGTTACACTAATTGTGTTTCCATATTTAGTAAAATTCATATTAGGTTAATATTAAGATTTAAGTTTAATTTTATTATATGAGCTATGTTTAAAAATCTGTTATACTTTTTTGAGGACCAGAATAGGTCGTCTTCTGTTTTCAATAGTTCGCTCCTGTGCATTTTTGCAACTTTTGAGTGCCATTTTTAAACTCAGTTTTTTCAATCACTACTTATAATATAAATTTGTTTGTTCCTTATTCCTTAAGCCCAATAAATGCCTATTGAAGCAATACAATATATCAACACTCAAAACACTTTTTTTTTATTTTCAGGTCCAATTCTTCATGGTGCTCTTCCATTCTATCAGCGCTTTGGTTTACGACTGTGGATATCCTAAGTAAGTAACTCATCTACTGTAGAAAAAAATTCTTTCTTCGGCTCAAAACAAAACACCCCAAAAGATGAAGAAAATTTATTTAAAAGCAGCAGAAAAAGTAAAAAAAATGGAAAATAATAATTTAAAATAGATAAAGTAGTTGCAGAAAACCAAATAGTAGTTAATTAAAATGCAAACGCATCTTACAACACTTAAAACAAAGAGAAAGAAGTTGCCTAAGTAAAGGCCAAAACCTCTCAATACCTAATGTGTTAGCTTGTAGGTAAGTACGCAACATTGAATCATGCGCAATGGGCAGAAACTATGTAGTCATATCTATTTCATCTCCATGCCTTCTGATTTAGTCATCAAATCACGATTTCGATGCAAGAACTGCTTTTTTCTAGACTTGCTTCTGTTGTTCCGAAGCAGTTTGCACGAAATGCATTTCGAATGCGTTCGAGTTTAGATCACGCTTCCCTTTACATGCAACATCGACAGTTGCAAAATGTATATTTGTGTTATGAAATAGATCAAGTGTCTTTGTAAGCTGGATTTGATAGACAAAGTTTTGAACCTGGCTTCTTTCTTAATTATGGCACCTTATCTCTATCAAAATACTGTCTTCTTATTTCAGAATTAAATAAAGGGCACCTAACTCACAGTGTCTGGTTTGATTCTATTTTAAGTTCTTGTTTAACAATTATGTGCGCCGTACATAAATGTTTTTGATTGCTTTCAGATTCATCGCCGGAGGTTTGATCTTGCACTCGACCATCTTCATAGTTTTGTTCATGAACTTCTACCTGCAAGCGTATAAGAAAGAGAAGCCTAAACAGAAGCCAGCAGCGCCAATAAACAACAACAACAACGATGAGACTCTTCTTCCAAATGGGAAAAATGGTCTTAATGGACACATTCAAAATGGAGATCTCAATGGACATATCAAAAATGGTGACCTACAGGTGACTTTAAGAAACGGGGACCTCAATGGACACCTCAAAAACGGTGACGCGAATGGACATATTAAAAATGGAGAACTAAATGGTTTTCTAAATCATGAAGTCAATGGACGGGTGAAATTAAATGGTCATTTGCAAAATGGTTACACGAACGGTCACGTGATCCACGATGTTACAGATAAGGAAAAAGTGCAATAGCCTACACTATGTTGCTAGGTTACATTGTATGCTTTTTATGTATATTTGTTTGGAGAGTCGGAGATACTTGAGTTTTTATTGATCCCTTCTTATAGAAAAAAAGTAAGTCGATGATTGGAGAAAGTATAACTTCTCTAAGTAGGCGTTACGTGTAGCTTTCAATCTGAACCACCATCACGTTCACGCCATGGCGACTAGCTAAACATAATAATATGAATCGTGACAATAAATTAAGTACCCACAAAAAAAACTGCTCCATACATTTTTAAAAGACTTATTAGTATTTTCAAAACTCTGAACAAATGTTGTACAGTTAGAACCAGTGTATAAATAATTATTTCGTGTGAGCTATATTTTAAAATCATAATGGTGCATCTTAATACCTTTATAAATACTTAACACTCTCTTTTTGTAAATAAATTTCAATAGCTATTTTACCAACAAAATTTACAAATTATTTTTTCTTTGTTTTTATTTTTTGTTAACAGTTTAATGTTAAAACTACCTCATGAGTGAACTTATAATTAATAAATTTACTTATAAGTTAAAAGTCTTGAAATTGTAACTAACAAAAAAAACATCGAAATGAGGCTGTTATTGCTCAATTAATTTAAAAAATGTTTCCTTTTTTCGTGAATTAAAATTGCTCACAAAATATTTTATACTAAAAGACTCGCCTAAAAGGCATTAGTTACTGTACTTCCGTCCAATACTAAGCTTTATTTAGTTATAAGTTACAATAGCTGTACATAAAGTTTTAATTTATTTTTTGTTTTTTTAAAGTACAAGCAATCTATTTTTGATGTGTGTGTACTTTTTACAAGTCCAAGAAATAGACCTGGATATTTATTTTTACTTTTTTATACTTGGGTTAATTTTTTTTGTTACAAAATTATAAAAAATCAAGTGAACTTATAACTGTGGTTACTAATATAAGTAATACTTATATTTTGTAAATATAATATGACATCGTTGAGATTAATTTACAATTTACGCGTTCAATGGGAGTGATATTCGATGATATTTTTTTTACAAAATAATACCTAAACAATTAAAGTATATAAAATATTTGTACTTTATCGTTGTCGGTGGATGAATGAGGGAAAATTCTCTTGAAATTAATATATTTTAAAATAATTGCTATGCTAAGGAAACCAGTCAGTTTTAGCGAAATTTTGTATTAATGTTTAAGGTGTTTTATACATACATAGACTTAATTATTATTAGTGATATGTGGTAAAACTTGTGTAGCGTCCCTTTTATACGATAAGTTTCAAAAATAAATATTTGAAATTACCTATTTTTTTATTTTATTTGTTTTTTTAAGTAATATAATTCAACAATTTGTGTTTGAAAGAGCCAAGCCTTAGCACGAATGGAATGATACCACGGCCTCACATAAAACCAGAGCGTTGTATTTTCGCTCAATCCTTCCCCTCCCCAATTCTGAAATCTCCAAAAGGCAGGCAACGCACTCTTGTCTCCGCTGGTGTTGCGGATGTCCACGGGTGGTGTGGATTACTGTCCACCAGGTAATTGATTTGCTCGTTAGTTACTCTATATCTCTCGTAATTTGGGTTAGATACCAACCCACAAGCTACTACGACATTTGTTTTTAAAGTCTCTACGTACTTACTTTACACTAATTGGAGTTGAACAGTATCAATACATCACCATATTACAGCAACAGATAATAATTATTACAAATATCCTCTTATAGAACTTGGGTAGTGTCATTTCCAAAAAAATATAGCAACTCCGAAGTCCGTCCTATCATTTTCTAGTTAATGGCAAAACAGTGACATCTGTTGACTAAACTTGAAAGTATCTAAGTAGAAGCTTAACCCACTAGCTGCTGTTGTATGTTACTTAAGTTGGCTCTGTGTTATGACTTTCACTCCCTACAGTAAATGTTAAACGGTTAAGTATAGATGACAGCACTGTCAACGAGATTTTATGTTTGAAAATAAAAATGAAGTAAGGAGCCCGCCCCACTTTTAAAATTAACAATATTAATTCTGATGTGACATTAGATTAAATTGTAACCTAAGTTGGAAATGGATGTTAATGATTTGTTTACATATGTATAAAACAAATATAAACAAATCAGAACATTTGTCTTAAAATTATAAAAAATAAAAGGTCCCATTATTAAAATATATTGACGAAAACAAACGAACACCAGGAAAAAATTAAAATAATTATTTTCAAACAACATTTTAATTGACGACAAAAAAAAGCAATTTCCTTTAAAACACATTAACGCACACATTTTCCTTGATAGCTAATTAAAAGAATTAATTGCTGAGAAAATCCGACTTTTAAAATTTAACGGTGTGTCGATAACAACTCGGACCCTCGCTAAACCTTAATTATAGCCCTGCAAAATGTCAATAAACCTGACATTGGTACATTTTTTCTTCCCCTTTCTAATTTGTTAGCCCTAAATTCGTAACCCTATATTCCCAATCAAACTAAGACCTTTAAGACTGAACTAAATGTTACACTTCAGAGTTCTAGTTACACTAGCCATGTGACACGTACTGAGAAGGGTAGATACAGGGTAGGGACACGCACCACTCTGTCACCTTTTGTAAATGATGGAGAGAAAGAGACAGCAACACATCTGCCCTTGTTTATACACGTTACGTTTCACGTAAAAGCGAGGCAGTTTGACGTTTCGTGTTCCTAAAAATAGCGGGTGATTCTAAAAATAAGTTATTGTAGCGACATCGAAAAGGAGATTTCTTTAACAATAAAACTTACCTTAAATTTTTTTGTGAAAATAGAGAGGAAAAAAATCATAATGAATATGTTTTGAGAAAATCATTGGAGCATGCTTCTACATGTCTGTTCCAAGTACACATAAAAAAAATTACTTTATTTGATGGACAACAGAACCAAACACCTGCTATAAAATAATTCAACTTACCTATTACATTAAGTTATGTATTAGCTCAGTATTATAACTTAATGAAAGATTTCATTTATAACATATGTTTTACTTACATCATTATTACGTTCATCAATGTCTCTACTACCGTCTTAACTAAAAATAAAATAATGAACACCATAACTAAGTAATTCTAAGAACGGACAAAACTCAAAAGTAACGTTGTTATGAAACATTTACGCCAACAATCAATATACCCCGTATAACGGAACGTCTGTTCGCCGGCCGGGACGAAAACCCTAGCCAGGGGTAGGTACCGTGAGTCAGTCGAGTGCGCGTTGTTGCCGCGCACGCACGCGCGTCGCGTCCCCGCTCCCCATACACACAAAACAAAAAACCACAAAACCTTAACAATCAACCCAACGTGAATAACATTAGTGCTATAGTGTACCAATAAGTGTTATTAGTTAACTGTTACAGTGATACCATACAGTGACTCGGTGGGAATCGCAACAGAACATCGCTCAGCGTCCAACCATAATGATATAAAACATTTTCTACGATAAATCGCTTGTTACTGTGTTTTAATCGGTAATGTGCTGTCTTTGAAGACTGCTTGTGTTTTATTTTAATGTATTATGTTTGCCAACCGCAGTGTGAGGGTAGAAATCCATGGAATATGCTAATAAGTTGGTTTCTTTTAACCCGCACACAAAAAGCTCTGCACTAGACACTGCAGTGCGATTTGTGTTGCAAATTCACCAGAATTTATATCTTTTCCGTCTGTACGTACTATTTTATCTATTTTCATTAAAAAAACTTGGAGTTTTGTTCTGTTTCTGTGAGTTATTCGGGGTGACTGTTCTGTTCTAATTCAATTTCAAAATTTTTGTTACGAATTTTGTTATAATCAAATCTAAACTGTTTCGACTGTGTTTGAATTAATTGGTACTTCGAATTTTGAAACAGAATACTACGAAGTTGACAAATTTCCAGTCAGCAATTCGATTACAAACAATTTTCTCTTCATAATAGGAACGGGTAGTGTCATTTCCTTTGTGCCAATAGTCTATTTGCTCTAATTTCCTGCTTTGCTAGTTATTAACGTGTTTGCACCAGATCTAGGTTTAGATTTGTCGAACTCAATCGGTCTATTAGATTGGAATGAATTTGAATTTCAAATAGGTTATTTGTTTTCTTCCAAGAATTGATTGTCTTTTAGTAAACATTTCTTCTGTCAGAGACAATTTGTGCTTAATGATTACTGGAGTAGCAATATCAAGAAGTGAACGAATTATATTGTGTCTTTCTTACATCCAGTCTTTTTTGTTGTAAGGAAAGGCATTAGGATGACGTCACACAAAAGGCTCAAAGCGAAAAGCCGGTATGTTAATATTTGAATAGTACAGGCATTATGTAGATCCTAGACGATAGTACCATACAATGAAGTAATGGTGAAATTAAATATGCAGTTTAAAAACAATGGATAATGTGAATAGAGAATACCTCAGAAACACCTCTTATTTGAATTCTCAGTACGTTTCTTATAGAAAACCGCAATAATATTCATTGTGGTGTAAAATAGATTGAATAGATTGCATCTGATAACAATCAATCTTCCATTGTTCTGCTACGCAACCATGAACCCAATGGTTTGCAATTTCCCCAAATAGGGAAACGAAATAATTTGATTCATATAAATATTTTATTAAAAAGCCTGGATAAATATGGTTTCATTGATACAATTCATACAACTGCAATTTACTACAAACACAAAGTTAAATATTTAGATGAATCATTAAGAGACGAAATTGAAGAACTGGGTGCTATAGACGTTCCGACACTCTGCAATAAAGAAAAAGAGAACACAAATGATCTGGGAAGTACAGCTACTTATCAATAAAACGAAGTAGATTGCGAATAGAAAGACGATCAAATATCTATTGGAACTATTATATACTACGTAACCCAGACCTTGGCAGTAAAACCGAATCGATATGAAATTGATAACCCAGTGGAATTCGAACAGGTATTTAAATTCGAGTTTTGAAACGTTTGAAAGCTCATAACATTCAGCAGCGCAATGTGGCTTTTGTTTTTTGGGGGATAAGGTTTGATTCTTTATTTTATGGCTGTCTCTATGAAAGATAGTTAGAATACGTATCTTTTACTACGAGTATTTATTTGAACTCAAACATCGTTCGGCTTCAATAGTATGACATTGTTCTACTTGTAATATTTCTGCAGTTTGTAAAACCAATGATACGAAAATTACTACAGTATTCTTTCTAGGGGACAATCTAAGATACTAAGTCTAATCATAACTCGTAACTAAGTTGACGTATATGTTCTTGTAGCAAACCAACTAATAAACATTAATGGCGTTAATATCAAACACCAGTATCAACATGGATACCATCAACAAATAATTCCCAAATCAAATCTTGGAAACGATCATTAGAATCAGCAAACCGACCCCAGAGATCACTTGGTAGCCTACAATGGTTTTTATCTGGGAAAAGAATATACAAATCGATTTCTTTTCTTCCTAACGTTAGGCCATCCTATTGTTATCATAACGATCTTTGTGAATAAATCTTTGCTTGCGTTTTATTTATAATTTTATTGGTTTCTCTGAAACAGCACTTGGCTAGATTTTAAGAGCTACTCGGAGTAAACTTTGACGATTTCCTACTAGGATTGGATAGGAGGACTTGATGATTAGGATGATCCCTAACCCGATATCACATATTTCTTAAACCTGTCAGCTAAGGACGAGCTCTTGAGATCAGCGAGCACATTCGACAATTGACGAGTTTTATGATTACCGGCAAGATCATAAATCAATCTCTTTTTTTCTTATAAGATGCATTTCTCCATTGCTTAATATTTTTTTTTCCTGATATATGTCAATGACTTTTATAACTACGCTGAAACATCAACAACCCGCCTATTTGTTAGTGTACATCCATTACCGTAACCTTTATATTGAATGGCTTTGTTGTCGTATAAGGCTTTAAAGGTTCTCACGAAATTCGCATTGACACGGTTTGAATGCCATTCTGAGTTGTTCTAACAACCTGTGTAGGGAAAGTCCATTATAGTTTTCTGAAATCAAACCTTCGAATTTTGTTTCATTAAAGGAAAACTGTATTAAAACCCGTAAAATTTCATATAAAATAAAAAATGCGATAATTTCCACATCATCAGCCTATAAGTCCCCACTGCTAAGAAAAAGCCTCTTGGCACATCGAGATGTTTTGAGCAGTAATCACCACCAAGCTTCCTCGAAGCAGATTGGCGAATTTAAAAAAGTTAGAACGAATGAAAGAATGAGTTAACAGTCCAGGAGTCCCCATG